AAAAAAAAAAAAAAAAAAAAAAAAAGAAAAAAGAAAGAAAAGAAAAAGAAAATGGAAAGGTATCCCGTTCTTGCATAGGCAGAACCAACCTTGTGAAAACAGCCATACTTCTAAAACTGTTACACAGATTTAATGAAATCCCAATCAAAATACCAATAGCATTCTTCACATATGTAGAGAAAATCCTAAAATTCATATGGAACCAGAGGAGACCTAGAATAGCAAAAACAATTCTGGGCAACAAATTCAAATCAGGGGGCATCACACCTAATTTGAAGTTATACTACAAGGGTACTATGATTTAAAAACAAAAACAAGACTTGAGGGTCAATGGAATAGAACAGAAAATGCAGAAACAAATCAATGCAGACTGAGCTACCTTGTCTATGACAAAGTGACTAAATATTTTCAGTGAGAGAAAGATAGCCTCTTTAACAAATGGTACTGGGAAATTTGGCTTTCCACATACCGAATCCTGAACTCGATATCCCTAACCATGTATTGAACTAAAATCAAAATGGGCCAAGGATTTAGCTTAGTGGCACCACAACTGCCTCACAAGCCCCAAGGTCCTGAGTTTGATCTCTGGAACCAAAAAAAAAAAAAAAAAAGATCAAAGTTCTAAACACTGAAACAGAAACACAATCTGCTGGAAGAGATTAAACTCTTGAAAATATACATGTAGGCAAAGACTTTATGAACGAATCCCCAACTACACAGAAGAATCAACAAATGGGACCTCATCTCATTAAAAAACAAAGCAAAAAAGAAACCACAACAGTGGAGGGACAACCTACAGAATGGAAAATAATTTTTGCCAGCTACTCCTCAAAGGACAAATATCTAGACTATATAAATAACTCAACCAAATTAGACCTCCTTAAATTTAAAGGCCCAATCCAAAAATAGGCATCTGAAATGAACAGACATTTCTCAGATTGAGAAACACAAACAGCAAATAAATACATGAAAAAACATTCAACATTCACAGACACTTGAGAAATAATAATGTAAATTAAAACACTGAGATTCTGTCTCACTCCATAAAGAACAGCTGTCATCAGGAAATCAACCAATAACAAATGCTGGTAAGGCTGGGAGGGAAGGAACCCTTCTCTATTGTTCGTAGGAGTATAAATTGGTATAACCACTATGGAAAATAGTATGGGGATTTTCAAAAAAACAGGTTTTTCATGGTTCCGTTTGACCCAGCTATTCCCCTTCTAGGTATCTTCCTGAAAGTATTAAAGTCATCATACCACAGTGATACATGCATACTCATGTTTAAAGCAGCACAATTTATAAAAGCTAAATCTTGGAAACAGCCAAGATGCCCATCAACAAACAAATGGATAAAGACAATGGGGTATTTGTATAAAATGGAGTACTACTCTGCCACAAAGAAGGATAAACTTGAGACTTTGTGGGGGGGTTACTGTAGATCGAACTCAGGACCTTGTGCTTATGAGGCAGGTGGTGGCATCACTGAGCTAAATCCCTGGACCTACTTAAGACATTTTTAAGGCAATTGGATTCCTCTTGAGACCATAATCTTAAGTGAAATAAATCAGACAGACAAGTTTAAATATTTCATTGCTTCTATTGTGTGAGAAACAAGTACAAATAAGGAGCAAACTGGAGAATAGATATTAGGAAGTAGGAAGAACATGTTCAAACAGGAATTGGAACAGGGAAAGGGGGAGGAAAGGAAGAGAAAAGATATTTTTAATAAAAGAATTGAAGGAAGAAATGGAAACAACTTTTGTAAATAGGGAAAGGAAAAAAAGTTGAAGAGAGGGGAGCAGGGGAATAAAGGAAGTCAGATATATTACATATGTGTACAAATTCCCCATTATGAATGTGATCATTATGTATGGCAAATATGTCCCAATAAAAAATGTTTTAATAAAATGACTCTTAAAAATACTCAACTTATACAAGAAAATGTGGTTATTACTATGCTAACATTAATTCTCTATGTCCTCAAAGTGTAACTGAAAAACTGCAGAGACAAGAATATAAAGATAAGTCATGATGAATGAATATATACAAATACTTTTATTTTTGTCTTTAAATATAATACAGGTACACATGTGAGCATGTAGACTGTTCAGTAGAGGAAAGGTTACAAAAGATACATAAGAAATGTTCACACAACATGATGAAAATAAGAACCTTTCTTAAAGAATAATCACATTCCATACAAATAAGAAGGCTGTGAAAAAGGGTTTTAAAGCTCAAACGTCTACAATAGTACTGAGGTATAATAATTGAAAATAGGAAATCTTGTAAGCTTTTCTTTTGTCCCATACTCACTGAAGTCTTATCCTTTTCTCAGGTGGGCCTTTAGTGCTCAGTGTCTGTTGGACATTCTTTGTGGTCTCTTTCTCCTCAGGTTTTACAGTTTCTGGTACTGGTTCTGCTTCTTTCTTTGCCTGATCCACTAGACATCAAAAGTAGATTTTTTTTTAGAGGAATGAAGGTAGAAGGATAAATTTAGACAATAGCTATTATGAATGTTTCTCTTTGAAATTCTTTTTTTGTTTTTTTAATGCTTACCTCCAGTTCTACATTTTTTCAGGCACATGTATTTAAGAAGCTAGTTAATAAACCTGACAACTTGTTACTGCCTCAGGGAAATTTGTGATACTACACAAAAACACATGGTATTTAAATAAAGCATCATGTATATAAGGTATATAATTATTCTACCCTAGTTCACAACTGTTTTCAATTATTAAACTAAAAAGAACCTCAAATCACCTTGACTCCCACACACTTCCTACTCTTTCCAACCAAATTCTTTTTCTTGCTTTTGTCTTTTTGTTTTTTGAGACAGGGTCTCGATATGCAGTTCAGCCTGGACTTGAACTCACTATGTAGCCCAGGCTGGCCTCAAACTCACAACAGTCCTCCTGCCTCAGCCTCCAGTGCTTGGATTACAGGCATGTACCAGCTCCAAATTCATCTTTTAAATTCATCTTTTAATTACCAGTATCACTACCACAAAAGTGGCAATATCAGCAGATTTTAAAGGTCAGGAGTAACAAACTACAATGATTAATGGACAAAATGACCTTAGCTCCTCTCACCATCATCACTGTTACTGAATTAAAACATTTGCTCTTATTTCAAGTTTACTAAGAATATCAATTAAACCATATTGAAACATACCTGGGACAGGCTTTTCTCCAGATTTTTGCTATAATTTAAAATACAGGGGATGGGGGAAGAAATAAAGAGAAAACAAACCAGGTTAGGTAAAATATTCTTCTTGATTCTGTATTTCGTATTAAAATGACATCATCAAATTGCATTATAAATGATCTCATAAAGAAACATTATCATGTGCTATAAAATTACTATTCATGTGCCATATAAAAGCAAATTTATTCATTTTCTACTTTTTACCCCCATTCTAGAAACAAATCTAAAACTAGGGGAGGTGCTGGGCATAGTGGCACACACCTGTGTTCCCAGCACTCAGAAGGCTGAGGCAAGAGGATCACGAGTTCCAGGCCAGCCTGTGCTACATAGTAAGACCCTGTCTCAAAAAGTAAAAACAGTGCTGGGGATTTAGCTCAGTGGTGGTGGTGCCTGCTTCATAAGCTCAAGGTCCTGAGTTTATCTCCACACCAAAAAAAAAAAAAAAAAATTGAACAGATTAGTTAACCACAAAACCCTGAACATCTAACAAAGCCCTTTGCCTCAACACAAAGGCTACAATACTGTTCAAAATGTAGTTAAGTAGAATTCAGAGAGAAAAATAATGAAAACTTAAGACTTAAGACTGACTTTTAGAGTTGGCAGGCATCAAAAATGAGGGAAAAGAAATAACTTCCTATGAGCATAACATATGTGATGAGTACTATTAAAAGTCAGATGGCAGGAAAAGTGATGGGGGCGTTAGAGTTCAAGAATAATTTCAGGTCCTTTACATACCAATTCTTTTACTTCATTGGACCCTGTCATCTCCCTAATCCCATTATCCAAGTTACATGCTCTAAAAAACCTTTCTCCTCAGAGTGCACAAACTACTCCTTGTTCTCAGTCACGGACACTCTACATTCTATGTTTAAAAAAAGCAAAACAATGAAACAAGTATTTTGGTTGAAATAGTGCTAGTGCCCCTCCCAGACTAATCTACTGAGGGCTTCATGACCAATGCAGCAATATTCAAAGGTGGGGCCCAGACAGGTGACTGCATCATGAGGGTGCTAATCCCAATTTACAGCTCAACAGGCTATGAGGAGGTGGAGCCCAGTTGGAGGAGTAGGGGTCACTGGGTACATGACTTTGAAGGCTGTACCTCCCTAGTCTCTTCTTCTCTGGCTCTGTCTCCCCCTGCCCTGTCCGGCCTACTTCCTGGCTGCCAAGAGGTGAGCTTTCCTCCACCATGCCTTTCTGCCATGAGGCTCTACCTCACCACAAGCCCAGAAACAATGGAACCAAGCAACCATTGACTAAAACCTCTGAAATCATGGAGCCAAAACAAATCTTTCTCCTTTCAAGTTATCATGTAAGATATTCTGTCACAATAACAGAAAGGTGACTAATACAAATAGGACACCAATACCTTTTTCAATTTACTTTTAAATTTATTAGACCTTTACATTCATTTTCTTTTCTTCTCTCTCCCTCCCTCAACCTCTTTCTCTGTATCTTTACATGCTTCTATGCCCTCTCAGAGGAAAAAAGTAATCTCTTCACTTCTAAGCCTAATGACTTCATCTATTTTCTAATTTCTTTCTGAATTTAGGAGCGCTCCCTAAACTTGTTTGCCCATTCCCTTGGCTAACAACTACATTATTTCCGGTATCACATGTTCCAGATTCGTGCTACCACATTTATATTTAACAAGACCAAAACCAAGAGCCATATTATGATCCACTGTGCAAAAAAGGGTTAACATAGAACTCTGAGAAGCCTATCCTTAGACAGGCTTGCTTTGTAAGGTTGGCCCTTGGTCCATATCCTGACAGGGCTCCCACTATTTCCCATCTGATAGCAGTGGCTCACTGTGCTTAGACTACTCACACAAATAATGCAGTTTAGGCCAGTTATCTTCTTTTCTGCTGGGACTGTGAAATTTTGCCACATGCTCAATAGAGATAGAACTCCCCATGCCCTATAAAGAATGGGCAGTCTCTAGTGGATTTTTCTGGGCAGAATTAACAAACAAATGTTACCAATTTTTTGTAGCTGTTTGAGGTGAAAGTATTTTGTTGTTGCTGTTTTGGTTTGTTTTGTTTTGAGACAGAGTCTTGCTGTGTAGTCCAGGCTACCCTCAAACTCACAATCCTCGTCTCAACCTCCTGAATGCTGGGATTACAAGTATGCACAACTGTGCCCACTACTGAGAGTGTATTCTGTACAACCACTTTATGGTAAGGATAGTCTAAGGGTGCCTGCACACAAAATCCTCCAGACTCCATCTTTATCTTTTCTCTTAGGATTTGGCTATTTTTACTCTATCACAATAATAAATCTCAGCTATTGAGCACAACTATATACCAAATCCTGTGATTCCTTCTAGCCAATCTCCAAACACGGGAGTGGTCAAAGAAATTCTGACACTAGCCACGTATCAGACAATGCTTCATACAATGCTCTAGGCACGTATCACATGCCTTTTAAACATATTAGGACTCAAACACAGCTAAAGTCATTTGGAAGAACAAATAATTTTTCTTACTGTGAATAAATGTATAGAGTAACACTGAAGGGACTGAAAATTGTGAGAAAGGAGATTTTTATATTGCTAGCTCTGAACCACTTAGCAACAGTAAGACACTAGAATAATATCATTATCTACCTGACATACAGTACACTGACAAATCTTTTAGTGAACACAGGCAAACTAGCAGGAAATGGGTTGAGATGGGCAAAGAGTGCCTTTCAGATCAAATTTAATTAGGAGGTCTTGATTTTTTTTTTTTTTTTTTTGGTACCAGGGATCAAACTCAGGTCATTGTGCTTAAGAGGCAGGCAGAGGCACAAGTGAGCTAATCCCAGCCCTAATTAGGAGAAAATCTAGGTGAAGTATTTTCCATGATATCCTAGCAGCTTCTGAAAGAGAACTAAAAGAATATTCTTCATACAATGCTCTGAGGACCTGAACCCCAACACATGAGTATCAGTGTAACTTCCATCAGTAACAAGAATTAAAATATGGAAAAAGAAGGCTTCAAAGAAACAAAGGAGATTTCTCCCATATTTTCCTGTGTACCCTCAGTAGGAGCCACATCCCTACACTAGAAGCCTGACTACTAAATACAATGGAGAACTAGGAGTAAATCCTGAATTACAAGTGGTTCTGGAAGACACAATGGGTAAGGAGAAGTTCAGATGAGTGGTTCTTGGAGACTAGACTATTTGCAACTCTAGGTCTGAGAGGGAGATCTTTGGTAGTTCTAAAATAGGCCATCTTTTCCTACCTCTGTTACACAGAGCTAGATATATTTTCCCTTTGGGAATTGGCTTTTGGTCCTTGGATGTCAAAGGGGTGGGGGTGGGGTTCCAAGAAAATGACAATTTAAATATATCTTTTGCTAAAGTTTTCAATAGAAAAGTAAAAACTTGCTGAAATGAAATGATATAAAGTCTACATTCAGCTTGAAAATAAGTGAAAAGTGGGGGAAGAGATAAAGCAAGATTGGCCATGTTTGATAAATTTGGGAGCAGGATAATAGATATATGGGAGTTTCATTTTTATTCTCTTTACTTTTGTCTATGTTTTACATTTTTCATCATTTTCTGTAAAGCCTTTTTGTATTAAAGATAAAGGCTGTCTTTGAGCTTTCTACAATTCCACATTAGCCCCCTAGGTAGAAATGCACAAATGAATCAAGGCAGGAACCTTAGCCCCCACAAAAAGTGTTCATTCACTGGCGGACCTCGGAACCCAACCTCAGAAGCTATTCAATATTCTGAAGGCTGATCAATGTAAATAGAACCTTCAACAACTATATTTCAGTGAAAGTCTGTTGGTTTTCCTATACTCAGAATTTTAGTTTACAATCAATACCTTGTCGAAACCCCAGAATCATCTTCAATGTCAATCTCTCTAAAACCAACCTCCAAATTTAAGCAATCTTGACTCTATCTCCTCTCTATCTTACAGCTACAGAATAAATTCAGGCTTTCTTTCATCTATGAAATCTCTGATTCCAAACTTCAATCTCCTTAGCTCCTATACTGTCATTGGTTATCTTCCTAAAATACAAAAAAGTGACTGAAGTACTCCCCTTACCCATGAGGAGATACATCTCAAGACCCCCAGTGAATGCTGAGAACTGTGGGTGATTCTGTATTTCCACAAGAAATATGATCTAACTGGAAAATAAGCCCTAGTATAACTGTTCAATATGTTCATAATATAAGCCCTAAAGCCAAAATAAGCCCCAGTTCAGTCATCAGTCAGATGGACACAAAATAAATATTACTGACATTAACATTTAATATAAATTACAATTAAGTATTTGGAAATACTCAAGCAGGCACCTTTGGATGAGAGGTAAAGCCTCATAAACAGATGAACTTTAGGCTTATTGCTAAACGACCAATAATGTGCACACTTGATAAGGAAGAGGGATGCTTGTGTCTAGTATGAATCTTCGTAATTCAGTGCCATGTTTTAACAGATGTACTTAAGCACTCATGTGAAATAAATAATTTTCTGAATTTTTGTATCTGAGATTTTTCAGCACTTTTGTGTGGATTACCACTCTTAACTGTCATCATCTTGTCACTCCTGTCTTGTGAGTCTTCAATTAACACTTGATTTAATGGAAACTTTGTGAGAGAATTCATGAGTTAAAATCACTGATATATATATATATATATAGATAAGAAGCGATCATTTAAGGACAGCTCTATTGCTGGACACGAGAGACTGAGGACAATACTTCTACAAGAAATGGAGTCACAAGAAATTCAGGCCAGAATTTGGGGTTTGGAGTGTTATGATGATGCTACAGACATTACATGACTGTATCTGAATAAATGTAGACTTTGGCAAAAGAATAAAAGCAATTTCTGTATGTGAATAAATAAATGTAGATTGTTAAGCATAAGTTAAACATAAATTGTTGTACATGAAAAAATAAGACAATCCCCCAAAAGAAGCCCTCTTGCGTTTTTTGAACAAAAATTAATATGACTTGGTCTTATTTTCAGGGAAATTTGATATGTTCCAACTTGCATCCTCTGCTCTGTTCATTACCATGTAATTACTCCAATAACATATTTCTCTCACCATAGTAACAGTCAGGGCCAGGGAAGACAAGCCTATTCTAAAGTCATTTCATAATGCAGTCTCATTTAATTTACAACTACCACTGAAAATCCCTTAAATAGCTCTTAAGAACAATGGCATATATATGATTGTGGGCACACACAGACCCATAAAGGTCCATAAGAACTGCAACTAATTGTGAGAATAACATGTTCATATATTCTATCTATTAACTACTTCAGGAGCTCACTGAATAAAATTCGCTATTACTGTTGGAACTCTCTCCTCTCAAATCTTATAGCACGATTTGTATAACTTAAAAACCAGGGGGCCAGGGATTTAGCTCAGTGGTTCCACCGCCTGCTGCATTAAGCGCTAAGTCCCAAGTTTGATCCCCTGTACCAAAAAACCAACCAAACAAACAAACAAACAAAAAACCCCAAACAAACAATATAGGGGCTAGGGATTTAGCTCAGTGATACTGCCTCCTGCCTTGCAAGTGTAAGGTTCTGAGTTCAATCCCCAGTACTGGGTGGGGGGGACTCAATATGGCATATTATTCCTGTCTTCCCTCTAACAAAAATATTCTTTTTGTTACAAATTTTAACCATTCAATTATTTAAGGAGCATAGATACCTATACTACATCAGGCTGTACACAGAGTAAAGGAGAATTTTACATCTTAGATTTTTTTAGTACTTGCTACACTTTTAACAATCTTTAAAATGAGAATATTATTTTATTAATTATTATTATTTTATTAGGCTATTATTTTTAGGTCATACCAGAAAACATTTTCAAGTAAATAAGTACATGTCATAAAAAAATGTCAAACCACACAATCCACATGTGCACACGCACTGACACACACACACACACACACACACACACACACACACATACACACACACTTAAAAAAACAAAAAAAGAAACAAAAACTATTAGCCACACATTCTCATTACCTGCACAAATTTAGGTGGAAATTTTTGTCTAAGGTCTACAAGTAAAGCATCCACACGCTGTCTCTGAAAAATAGAGCTGGGTTCTTCTTTTCTTTTAGCTTTTGGTTTGACTTTATCTATTAAAATACAATATCCAAATCAAAACATTACCTAATTAATTTGATGTCTCACATTTTACAAATCTTTATCCACCATGAATATATTCAAATTTCATTAGTTTGAAAGGCTGCTATACTCCTCCTCCTCCTCCTCCTCCTCCTTCGGATCTGACATTCGAGAGAGAAAGAGAGAAAATCGAAAGAGCACTGGACAGGGTGAGCCCAGCTTTCCTCCAGCCACTGCTCCTTTTCTCTGTTCTTTTCCGTACCCTTGGATGGCACTTGGCATTCCGCACCCTCAGTCCCAGAGCTCCAACTCCCCACCAGATCATGATCCCAGGTTCAGATCTCCTCCATCTCAAATAGGTAGAACAACCTTTCACATCCCTCCCCAGGCTTTCTTCAAACTCTACCAGCAAAAACATTTCCTATTCATGCTGAAAACTTTTTCCTCCTTTTGCAAGAAGGCAAGAAAACAGGACAGCTGCTCCTGTCACCCACCCTGCCCAGAGCCTGGTGTTCCCAAAAACATGTCTTTTAAAGACACTTCAGTTTCACTATGTCAGCATAGAAAAAGATGAGTTTTAAGGCTGAAGTTTTTCATAATTACCTAAATTACAATCTAGATTATTAGCATGAAATTATCTTTGTGTATTTTAAGTTTGTCAAGTGGTCTTTGCCCATAAAACCTACTAGGGGTAAATGAAAAAAACACGGATTTTATAAACTCAGAGTACCATGTTCTGATTCATAGGTTGGGGACAGGAGTGAGTGGGGATGACAGAAAACTATGAAGGAGAAATTCTAAAGTTATTCACATGTTAAATTTGCAACAGTAAGGGATGGAAGGTTAGGTGTACTAGAGCACTATATTTAAATTATCTTAAATTAAAGATTCTAGATAAGTGTTACTCATTAGGATGGAGGAAAATAGCTCTCGGGGCAACTAAGGCAAACTTTCTCACATCAAACACTGTTGCCTGCACCTATTAAAATCAAAATAACTATATCAGAGAGATCATTCTACAGGTAGGAATCCCATACAAATGCCACCTTAGCCACTATAATGTATTCTGAGTTTCTATTCTCAAAAAAAATGCAGGGCATAAAAAACTTCTACAGACACTTTTCTGGAGGTAGTTTTTCTAGTAAAAAATAAATAACAGTAGCAGATTAGTAGCCATGGAAACTAAGGGATCTAGTGCCACAAGAGGTAGTAACACAGAAGGATAAAAAAACACCCTGGTCACCTGAAGATAGCACTCTGAGAACAACCCTCAATTTCTCCTACTTTTGAGACTAGAGGGAAAAAGAGTTTGAAGTTCCAAGATGACTCAACAGGTAAATACAAATACCCTGTTCACTGCCATCACTGTCTCTCTTCTTTATGTTCCAAATATTTTAAAACCTTAAACCACATTCACTAAGATTACCAGTTAGCGAACACATTGAATTTATATCTATCCCTATATAAAAACTATTATTATCAAACCTAATTACATGAATCATAGTTTCAATGATGTCATTATGCTGTGAAAACCTAAAACATCAATAGATGTTTCCTAAAGAAAAAAGCTTCATCCCTGGAAATCAAAAACCATTTTAGGAGGTCCCAGGTGCTCTACCTACCTTGTTCTTCATGGTCTTTGAAGTGCCACCAATACCCTTTGGAAGGGTGATATCGACAATAAGACATAGCTTCATCAAAAGCTGACTGAATACCATGCACAGCCGTAAGCTTGTAAAAAGAAAACAAATTCTAAATTTCTCACTAGGTCAACCAAATTTCCAAAGTAAATACAAAATATTACATATGGAGAGTAATTTCCTATTTTTCAGAACCTATATCACTATATAACTGTGGAGTTACACTCATCCTTCCGAATCCAGAGGATTGGTTCCAGAACCCTCTACAGACACTAAAATCCATGGATTCTCAAATCCCTTCTCTTAAAAGAATATAATATTTGCATATAATCTGTATACATTCTTCCATGTATTTTGTACCACCTCTAGATTACTAATAAGGTGTAATATAATGTAAATATTTAAATAGTTGTTATACTTTATTATTTAAGAAATGATAAGAGAAAAGTCTGAACATGTTCAGATGTGACTTATTTTTCTGAATATTTTCATCCACAATAAATCGGCATGGAACCTACTGATGCACAAAGCCAACTGTATGTAATAGCACTGACCTGGCCTATGGTAAACAATGCTCAAGACATTGTAATGGTCAATACTTCAGACTAACTTACACAAGGGAGAGGAGCTCCTATTTGCTTCTTAGAAGCAGGGTAGCTCAATTAAAATTTTTCTTTAATGTTTAAAGAACGTGAAGATACTTACCACTCTGGAATTTATAACCGATCCCAAGTCTGGTGCCTGATAAATCACCCCAGCAATGATATAGTAATCAGCAAGAGGGACAACTAAAGCAGTGGGGAAAAAAATGCTTGTGAACACAGGTCTGGACATAAACTTCTAAATAGATATTAATTAAAAAAACAAGTAAAACTTGACATTTCCCAAACTAAACTTTATGGCAAGCTTTGGTAATTCTTGTTTTATAAACAGTTTTATTGGAAATCAGGTACACCCATTCATTTGCCTGTATCTATGGCTGCTTTGGCAACAGTTGAGATGTCACTAAGACTAAGGGACCCACAAAGGCCAAGAATTTACTCTCTAGCCCTGAAAGATCAGTGCTTCTCTAGTGAGCATCTAAATTACATTAAGTCAGTTCCATGTGTATTTGTGGCACCAGTGCTATTATCAGTCAACTAAATTTCCAGGAGGAAGAGCTTATAGCAAGAGAGAGACTTGGGTTCCAAGATGAAGGCATCAGATGCATTAAACTTGCAACCCCAGGACCGAAATCTTATGGCATAAGATAGCTGCCTAGCTGCCCCACTGCCATCTTGTATAGATTCTATTACCTGAATCCTCTTTACACGGTCTCACCTTTCATTAAGGTCTCTTTTTCTCTAGAAAGAGACACTAAAGCTTCCATTTTGAAATTAAGTTTGGGTTCCGGAACCACAACTTATTTAGCAATCTCTGAAATCAATACTAAAGTAAGGATTGTTCCTAAGTGTCTTCATGAGGGTATCTAATTGAAAGATACACCTGAAAGAACACTATCTGGCTTCTCTATCTTGTATCGTCTCTTTAGGGTAAATTTTTCCAAAGTTCTGGTTTGGTTCCAAGATGTCTTAAAGTTCTGGTCATCTCTACAATAAGCGTCTTAGCTCTCTTATTCAAAACCAAATTGGATTCTATACTCCCCAGTAGTATTTCTCAAGCAAGCTTTCATTTGGTAGTAAAATCCAGGTAAGACTTTTGGCTTTGTGTCACCAAGGATATTAAATTGATTCTCTATGAATTTGATAAGATTTCAACTGCTATGTATTATATTTTATAACAAAATTAACTGAACTCACTGACATGAGAAGAAAACTTACTTGGAATGCCTAAAACTCAATAGGATCCCCAAAACTATGTGCACAGAAAGAGTTGAGTTTTTCTAACTGCTAGTGCCCAAAGAATTGTCCTTGGGCATGTTTACAAAAATTATGATCCCCACACATATGAACAGTAGAATGTGACTTTTGAAACATCCTGCCAAAATCTACAAGCAATATGAGTATAGAGGACACCTAATTTCCTTCTGGAAGTCTGGAATTCTGGTGGACAAAGGATGCTTACATGACCAGGCCTCTATAAAAAAAATCCTAAACTCTGAGTTTAAAAAGGGATTCACAGAATAGACATACGCACATGTGGCTGCATATCACTGCCAAATAGCAGCCATGCCCAGTGTGGCTCTTCATAAGAAGAAAAGCACAGGCAACTGGCACATGGATTCTTTCTTACAGACCCCATTTGTTATGTCTTTTTCTATTACTAATCTGATTGTATAGCCCCAACAAATCTTATTCATGAGTAAAACTACATGCTGAGTCTGATGAGGGACCCAAGCAAAGTACTGAACATGTATGTGCTTTGGAACTACTCGAGACAGAACTCAATCCATAAATAGATAAGTAGATAGATCATGATATTTTAAGAAAAAAATGCCTGAAGTTTACCTTGAGCAGGGGACTGCCGCTGTTGCTTTCGAATGATGAAAAGAATTGGCTCTTGAGCATGTAAAAGGATGTATTCAACTCCAACCATCTGACTGAAAGAGAGACATCCCAATCTATGAAGACCTACAATGATTCTGTAGGACATTCAAACATAATATAAATTGCAATAACACTGTAAATAGGGTTAAAGTTGACTGTGTTTGGTATTAAAACTTGGCTGTTGAATAAAACTGGCTGATTTTCCTGGATAGGTGACATATAGATAAAGAGTTGTTTTTTTTGTTGTTGTTGTTGTTTTGCAGTATGGGGATTGAACTCAGGACCTTGTGCTTTCAAGGCAGGTGTGGTGACATTGACCCAAGAGTTGGATTTTAAACTACAAAATTTATCATGAGTTTAAATGAGTACTTTTCAGACAGAAAAATTCACTGAAGTGTCTGTTTCAAAAAGGTAATTACAAAACAATGTTTCCTGACCAACACCTATAAATATATAAAATATAAAAATAAACGCCAAAAACCTTTTCCTCACCCAATACACTTTTTCCCTGCCATATTGTTTAAAAGCAACAATATGTTATCTTATTAAATAGCTCATAATAGAAATTAATTTCATAAAATCTACCAACTACAATATTTAGGTAACAGATGATAAATTATTTAAAGTTGTTTCAGAAACTTTTGTAATAGTAATAAATTCTTAGTTATTTAGCACCCTTAGTCTGAAGAATACTGCTTTATTTTTGACTGAATTTTACTACTTTCTCTACTCAGCACACAAAGAAAAATCTAACATAACCAGATTATGGCATAAAATATTACAATTAGATTTAAAAGAGAACAGTAATTATGATTATCTGGTTGAGAAGAAGAGCTGCACTGCCAAAAACACTCAGTGGTTAAAAATTAGTTAGATTTTAAATAGACATCATGAAAAGACCAAGTTACAAGTGATTACTAATAATTCCCTTGGTTATCAAATTTGTGTAAACCCAAACAAAGTTTAAGTTTTTCTTCCAAAAGTTCTACTCTGTACTTTATAATCCACAGCTCAAAAGAACTGTTTGCTACAAAATTTCTAGTTGGCAAAGATGCTACCCTCTTAATAAAGTAACTTACTTCAAGTGTTCTAGTGTTAGCCTCTGCATTTTGACCACTTCATTATTACACGTCCTGTCATAAAAAGGATTACTTCTTTCTGAAAAGTAATCCAGAACACTACCACTGTTCAAAATGGGGATCCAAGAGCTGTCGACCCAAGAGATTCCCAGCAGATTATCTACAAAAAAAAAAAAGTGATAATGATTAGAATAGAGAAAAAAAAACAATTTAACAAACAATTATTAAGGATCTAATGTGGTAACCACTATGAATATAAGAATGACAAGGATCCTAAACTATGTATTCTCACAGGAGAGAAATATGCAAGAAAACAATGACAACACAATATAGTAATATAATAAAAGTATGGATAAATGAATTATGAGAACACAGAAGAGGGAGCAGAATTTTTTTACCTCGGCGGGGGGTGAAAATGATTTTTCATAGGCATAGCAGGTGGATTTTAACACTGTATGTTAAAGAACAGAAACCTGGGCAGGCATGGGGATATATGCCTAGAATCCCAGCAGTAGCAAGAATGCCCAACAGAGGCAAGAGGATCCCAAATTCAAGCCCAGCCTAGGCAACTTCACAAAATCTACTCCAAAGTTAAAAAAGGGTTGGGGATGTAGTTCAGTGCTAAGCCTCTAGGTTCAATCTAAGAAACAAACAAACAAACAAACAAACAAAAACCTCATCATGAGAAAAAAAAAAGGATAAAGTAATTCTAAATAAAGAGAATTCATATACAAAAGCGTAAAAATACAAAGTATATTATACATTTAGAGAATAATTTGATTAGGTAAAAAAGTGTTAAGACTTGATCTAGATAGATCTTTTCAAAAACTGTAACTCCTGAGGTCTTTTGTTTTTGTTTTTGTTTTTCTGGTACCAGGGATCAAACTCAGGACCTTGTGCTTGGGAGAGAGGCGCAGTGCCACTAGGCTAAATCCCCTGCCCAAAACTCCTGAGTTTTTATATGCTAGCTACTCATTCAAAAAATTTCAAGGATATCAGTTTGAGATCTCTCAGTGATCACCCAATTAGGGACAAAGAAATACATTGTGGAGCTATTATTATAGATGAGATGATGATGTAAAAGTTAAAGTGTAAATACTAAGAATTCCCTTTGAGGAGAATTAAATCTTCATAAAGAAAAACATGATATGGGGCTGGGGATTCAGCTCAGTTGTGCAAGCGCAATGTCCTGAGTTCAATTCCCGGTAACAACAACAACAAAAAATACATTTAACTAATGAGGCTTTTTCTTGTTTTGTTTTGTTTTGTTTAGCAGCACTGAGAATTGAACCCATCACCTCCACACTGAACATGCCTTGGGCCTGAACTTAAAATCCTCCACCTCAGGCTCCCAGAGTGCTGGAATTACAAAAGTGTGCCACCTGGTGGATTATTCTCTATGCTCATAACAATTATTGGCTATTGGCTGTGTGGATGTTTCATACCACTATGGTCACAGGTTTAAATCATGAACATCAAAATACCTGTATAATAACTGGGTGAAAATGTCAACCTCTAATATGCTGCAATTATGTCTGGCACCTTTGAAGAAGTCACACCTAATTCAAGGTGACAGGCAGTTCTGAGCAAAATTAATCAAATCACAGGCATTGTACTTTTTTTTTTAAGTAAAAATGTAAAATATGCTATATGCCCACTAAAATAGAAACAAATGAAGTACACAGCATCCAAAATAATAGTGCAACATAACTGCTAATTGTTAAGTAAAATAAAGAAATCAATAAAGCATTTATATAACTTGAAAAAATAATTAGTATAGAACATTACACCATTCCATTCATTATAAGTGGATTGTGCCATGACCAAATATGTAAGACACCAGGAAATATTTTTTTAAAAAGACACGTTTTTCCTAATGAAAAGCAACAAAGGATAATCATTATTCTCAGTTTGAATTCTGTAGTCTAATTATTTAGATGATGGGGGGTACTGGGGATGGAACTCGGGTCCTTGTGCTTTCAAGGTAGGCGGTGAAACCACTGAGCTAAATACCCAGCCCTGTAGTCTAATTATTAACACAAGTTTATTTTCAACAAAACTCCCCACACAATTCTTTTTAATTTCCTTAAGAAACAATCATCCCCCCACTAAAAAGTTTCCAATCTTTATCTTTCTATGCATTGCCATTGGCTTCTAGAAGGCCTTCATTATTTCATGCCTGTATCTATTAACTCTTCCTAACTGTTGGCAGGTAGGATTTATAATTATGAATACTTGCTTATATATGTAAAATGCTTAGCATGCTGTTAGCTAATAAATGTCAAATATGATAATACTGGTGTTGGTGGTGGCTTTTCCATTCTCACAGCAATTGTTATATATTTATTACTAATACTCATAAACCAAAAATTCAAATGTAGATGGAGGAAAAGTAAAAAGAATTAAGATGTGTTATATATGTGCACAAATTTTACACACAAATATAATCATTATGTACTGCAAACATGTACCAATAAAAATAAATGTTAAAAAACAGAACAGCAACAACAAAATACTAATGCACCCCTATTAAATTATAGGTTTTACTCAGAACTAGCACAGGACCTGACTCATAGAAATTAGCAAATGCTTGTTAATTCGTGAAGGCCAAGGACAAGTATGATTTACTCTACTAATCAGAGATATTTAACAATGCATACACACAGACTCCTATATCCAAGGATATTCATCCACAAAATGGTTAACTAAGATTAAGATATGTTCTATGGCTATAAAATAGAGCGCAATTATCTGTCCTACTTGGAGATTACCTGTAACTACAACTTCATAAGAACACAATACCAAATCAAGCAGACTCCAAACACTTCTTCCTTATCTCTACTGTTAACACCGTAGTCCAAGCAATCTCCACCCACTTTAGAAAAAGTATCTTAACTGGTTTGTTTTTTGTTTTTTTGTACCAGGGATGGAACTCTGGACCTTGTGCTTGCAAGGCAGGTGGCTTAACTGGTTTCTCTAAGTCTTGCCTTCCTACACTGTCCTTAACCATAGTAATTCTAAAAAATAAGTCAAACTAAGTCATCCATCTGGTCAAAACCCTCCAGTGGCTCTCCATTTTACTCAATGGAAAAGCGAAAGACCTCATAGTGGCCTACAATACCTCTCTACCTTCATCTCCTTCCCACATCTTCCCTCACTCAGCCTCTACCCGTACCAGCCTCCTTGTTGTTCCTCTAAATCACCATACTCCTACTACTTTAGAGCCTTTGCTAACAAATCTAAATAAAAAGTAAAACACTACAAATGCTAACTACTTTAATGTAGTCTTATGAACTAAATGGTTCTCTTTATTCAGCATGGTGACATAAGTACAGCACTCTTGAAAATCTGTAATTGATGAAATTAGGCATTTGAAACTTTCATGATGAAAGACAAACATGTAAAAACATGACCCAGAAATGCTGAAGATGGCTAAATAACCATAAATAAATCTGTTAAACCTCAATTCGGTTATTATAGAAAAAGACATCTCAATCACTTTCCTTTAAATATAAGTATACACGGGCCAGGGATTTACCTCAGTGGTTCCGCCGCCTGCCTCGGAAGTGCAAGTTCGAGTTCGATCCAAAAATAAATTATATATATATACATATACAATAAATTATATATACACATATGCATATATGTTATATATGCACGTATACATATATATGCATATAAAATAAATTATATGTGCACATATGCATATATATGGAAAACCTTACTTACTTTGCAAGATCAATAAATAATTAAGAGGTTGAATCTCCACATATTTATCCACTGACTGACTCACAAGTACTTTGAGAAATTCTACAGTTCAGCTGTGAAAAATAAATTACCCCGGACTTAAGTAATTAAAGTACCGGGTATGATACATCAAAACCAAGTAGGCCCATTATCCCACTCTCCTCTCTGACCAAAGGCCATCTCTGCACTCTGATATAACAACTCCAATACTACTACAATACAGAGGTCTTATGTAGAACATAACTCCAGATCGGAGGGACTTTTTAAAACGCTCAACAGGACTAGGGAAAACTCGCCAACTTTTCTTGATTAGAGCCTTGGGTCGTCTATAGAAACGATCGAGAAGAGAGTGAGAGACCTCACAAAGTAATCTGAATCTTGCCCCCGCGAGTTGTAAACCGCAGACGCGTCCACAATTAGGTAAAAATCACAACGGCATTACCTCTGATATCCACCGCAGCCATAACTCCGAAATCGCTCCCAGACTCTCCTTCCGGTACCGAGTAATGACATAACGTCAAAGCGACGAGTTCAATGTAGTACGGATGGGGAAGAGGGACATAAAAAGTGCACAGAGAACGCAAATCCGCGAAGGGGTTGGGAGGTGAGAATGGGGCGGGAAAGAAAGTGGCGTGGTTTAGGAGGCGGCCTCGGTGGTTCAGGGGCGGGGCGAGTAGAGAAGGGCGGGCGGCTGGGCTGGGCTGGGCGGGGAGCCCCAGGGCGGGGACCGTGGAAATAAAGAGACGCCTCGGGTGCGGAGGGCTGTCTCGGAACTGCAGGAAGAGGTTGGGAAGTTCCGGCGGGGTCAAAGGAAGGAGGCGAGAGGCTGGGCTCCTGGGGAAAAAATTAGGCTTGAAGGCTAAGGGTAATGAGTGTGGTCCAGCCTTAGGCTTCGGACCTACTGAGGGATTCGAAAATTCACTCTTGATTTCCCACGACTATCAAGATGGCAAATTCTAATTCTGGCGGAATGAGAGATGGGAGTGCCTCCCACCTGAAAAATCTTCTCTTTCGTATCGCAGTGAACTGTTTAGATTTAGGAGCTACCGGCCGTTCTGTTTTTCGCTCTTCGGTGTTGGGTTTGAGACAGGATTCAGAAGAGAATTTGAGTCCTTGGTTTCTGTGTGACCACCCTTTTGGCACGAGAATGGCTTACTGAGGGTGGCCATCCTCTCCCACCCTCTGAGATTGAGACTGAGACCAGGACTACAGATTGTGGAATTCCACCGATTTTCACCTCCCAAAACATAAAAGATCTGAGTTCCCAATTTATACAGCCTCATTTCTTTGAGCACCCTACTCCATTCTTAAATGGATTTTATATCTTCCTCTAATCTTTCTTATCCCTCTTTTTTTTGGGGGGGTGCTGAATCATTATTAAAATGGGGGACAAGAAATATAGATTTATGTAAATCTAGAGTTCAAGAATTTAAATTTTTAATCTATGTATTTTCAAGAACTAATATGTATAAGTGAAGCAAAGTGTTAATTGCCTTGACAAAGCGAGCAGATTTCTTTACATTTATAAAAGTTCTTTGCAGAAAATTGATCTTTTAGAAAGAACTACTTAATCTTTAAATAATTTGAAAGTAAAATGCATATATAAAAAAGAAAATTTAACTATGAAAACTTCCCAATAAATACATTATAAATGTTCATAAACAAAGGAATATTAATAAAGTGTAAATGATAGTGAACAGAATCAAGTTCAATACCAGTTTATTCCTATTGTAAAAACGTGTGCAAGTAGGGTCGGGGATTTAGCTCAGTGGCGCTGTGCCTGCCTCGCAAATGCAAGATCCTGAGTTCGAACCCTGATATCTAAAAAAGGGGAAAAAAAAGTTTGCAGATAAGCCTCATAAAATAATTTGATTGGAAAATATTAGGTAGCACTAATTTACTAATTCAGAATATTACTACGTCATCTTGTATTTTATGAATATGTTTAATCCATTGTGTTTCTTGTTTTCTCACTAACTGCCTGGAAGTTTAAGTGACTTTAGTTTAAGTATCTCAGAGAACACAAGTGGAGTCAAGAAATTAATGGAGTCAAGAAATAGGGTCGGGGATTTAGCTCAGTGTTTCCGCTGCCTGCCTTGCAAGCACAAGGACCCGAGTGTACCAAAAAAATAAAAAAGAAACAGGAAAACTATTCTCATCAATTTGTAAACCTGAAGAAGGGACATTAATTCCAGGCTTCAAATTTAGTATTTACTGGAAAAATACAAACCAAATTGCCTCTCAAAGGCTAGTTTTTAAAACAATCTCTTCTAAGCCAACAATTTCCACTTAAGTTTCATGCATTTTTAATCATGATTACTAGTTATATTTTAATAGCAGAGGGGGAAATTTGGCATAATAAAATTTTGAAAGCATTTTTTTCCTACAGTGTTCACATATCTTACAGAAGAACATTTAATATAGTATGTTAACTAGTGTTTTGCCTATATGTACCTGGACATTATTTATAAAAATACGTATTTTTCAAATTCAATGAAAGCACTTATATTTTCTTTTGTTAGTATACTAAAATATATAACAACATGACAAAATTTACATTTTTTATCTCTTCAAGATACTGTACTAGATTTATTTATACACTGATTTTCTCTTTCTTACCAGTTTGATAAAAGATCTTCATCTCTGTCACAGCTTGGGCTTTAAGACTTTCCACATTTCTTCACTTTGCTGTTTGGTGACAGCATCTCCAGTCAAGACAGTCTGCATTCCACCTACCCATGCCCCGTAAGCCAGTTTTGTACATATGCTGCCTTTAAAGAGATGCTCTGAGGGTTATCATACCACACTTGAAAATGGCCAGTGGGATCTTTATAAATATGATAAGGAGCCTGCTGGGCTGGGATTTAGCTCAGTGGCTCTGCTGCCTGCTTCACAAGGGCAAGATCCCAAGTTTGACCCCTGGCTCAGAAACAAACAAACAATAATAAGGAGACTGCCGATCTTTATTCCACTGGCTTCCAGAAACGGAACTATTTATTTGCTTCATGGTTGGTTTACAGGGTACTTGTCATCCTGCAGCATCACCACAAGGAGCCCCCCAGAGAGGGACTTTTGCAATGGTACAAACATGATCCTCAGATAGTTTCAGGCAGTGAAACAAGGATCACCCATTCCAAGTTTCTTAGGGTTGATGCCCATCTTGATGTGGTCACTATATCCAGATAATGTCTGATTATTGGGAATAGTGGCTGCTGCAATACATTCTGACAAGATCTGATTTGTTCATCGTAATGATATAGGGGTAAGAGATGCAACTCCCAAACCTGCTAGATATCTGAAATGTGAGTTTGTGTTCTCTAAAATCGAAGAATGAATTGTAGGAACAACAGAAGTTAAGAGTAGGAAAAATTTATTGAGGCAAAGAAGGATTCTGTCTAACAGAGACAGAAAGGTGGACCAGAAAGTGGATTGCCCACCCACCCCACTTTTCAAAGGTATTTTATACAGCCAAGCCATGTGGTGAGGCAGGTACAAAGTGAGAGAAAGTGATAAGACCCAATGGAAAATTACAAAGTGGGCCTGAGGTGGGGCAAAACCATGACCAACCAATAAGATTACAAGTACATTCATACAGGTAATATTGGGTCAGATCGGGGAGCAGGTCACATAGCAAGCATACAAGGATTTTTCAGTAAGGGTGGGGGTCACAGATACTTCCTGGAAAGTCTGGGTTAACCTTGACCCTCTACCCCAGGTGATGGGATACAAAATCTCCCCGGGGCTGAGAAGTCTAATGTCATCTGTACACCTGTACTGGGAATTCTGACCCCAAGCATTCCACTACAGATTCCTTAGGGTTTCAACCGCCTTCCCATACCCTATAAAAATTTAACTCCTCTTCTGGCTACTACTTGACATCTTTCTTGATATCAGCTTGTTTGCACCCAACCAAAAATAAATCAACTCTTATTGCTCATACAAAGCCTGTGTTTGAATGGCCTTTCATGCACCATCTGTAACACTATTATTTTAAATTCTTCTTTAGTTCTTTTACTGGCACTGGGATTGGGATCACCAGGAGCTGCATATTCCAACACAGCAGTGGCATGGCGTGGCATGGTGTTTAACCTTCCTGAGAAGTTACAGCCCTACTGCCATTTGCAGGCACAAACTCTCCCGGAAGTGGAGGAAACCATTCTGTTATTTATTTAGACCCTGACAGAGTTCCTTCAATATAGTAGGTACTCAAAAAATGTTTGTTTGTTGAACAAAATAGATGTATTTTGGATGGATGACATGATGGTATTCAGAAAAATAAACATCTGGAGTTCAAAAATGAATGAAATATGAAATTGTTAAATGGAAGTGTATCCATGGGAAGTCATATTATAAGAAACCACCTAAAAATCTTTTCTGATCTTAGAGCAACACAGAACACACAAGAGCAAGAACTATGGCATCCTACCAGGTGTTAGATTTCCCTGGCCTTAAAATGGCTGTTACTCCCCTTCCCATTATGCCCTGCTTCTCACTTAAAAAGATGGCTTCTCCCACCAACCAAAGGACGGCCTTCTTCTTCTCATGATGCCTCTTCTCCCACCAAAAAGTAACCAGATACTTGCTACCTCCAAGTAACCAGTGATGTCACAGGCTCCTCCAATCCCTTAATATTACCTCATTTAACTCCATCCCAGCTCCTATAAGCCCCACCCCAGGCCTATAAAAGAATCTCTGTTCTGCCGTATTGCTCTCTCTCCTTGGATCAAAGATGGCTGGGCAGATTGCCCCTACAATAAATGCTTGTAGCAGTTCTGGTTTGGTCTTGGTTTTGGGCTCTTTTTTTTTTTACCTGACATCAGGAAAGTGTTCTAGCAAATACTGCACCTGTGTAGGGTTATTTTTTCTTCTAATTATGTGAGAAAAATTACTTTAGAATTATTGAGGGCCAGGGATTTAACTCAGTGGTGCCACTGCCTGCCTCACAAGCTCAAGGTCCAGAGTTCATAAGAAATAAAAATAAAAAAGAATTATTGAGGCATTACCTCTGAAGAGTCATCCTGGAAACTCTGAGAGTGGGCCCAGGGATCTAAAAAGAGATATGCTACCAAGTTTTTTGTGTTTTACATGTTACAAGAAAAGCTGTGCCATCCTGATATGATAAATATGAAAACCTAATCTTCAACATTTCTGAAAAATGGTTATTTACCTTGAGAAGTAATTGTAATTATAAACCAAATAATCTGGTCCTTAAAAGTTTTAGCCCTGGGCTGGTGATGCAGCTCAGTGGTCCTAAATTCAAACCCTGATTGTGGTGTGTGGGTTTTGTGTGTGGGGGGTTAGTCCCAGAATCCCAAAGAGAACACAGATAAGTTTAGTTCAGAAGAAACAGAATTGTCTTCCCTCAACTGGTGTGGTTTCCCTCTCATTGCAGGACATTCTGATATCATGAGTCCATAACATTTTATAGCACTAAATTCCAAATAAGACCATATGAAGGAGGGGGATTTTTGAAAAGAGAATTAAGGGCCAGGGATTTAGCTCGGTGGTTCTGCCACCTGCCTCACTAGCGCAAGGTCCTGAGTTTGATCCCAGGTATCAAGGGGCAGGGGGGTTAAGCTGTATTATTATTTTTTAATTGAGTTTATTGGTACATTTTAGGTATACAGTACAGTTACATTCATTATTAGGATCTTGTACCTTTACATGACAGGTCTTGGTTCTCATTTTTTCCCCTTGTAAGCTGCATTATTGGAAGGGAATTTTGCAAGAAAATTTTGCTCCCACAGTTCAAGCTGGGCTTACTACAAGAAACTCCCTACTTGAAATTTTTCTTTGTTCAGCATGTCTGGGCCTGCCCTGCCTCACATGCCTGGACATGTCTGAGACAACTTCCCCATCTCAGGAATGTCTTTGTCTCCAGAAGAGTTTTGTCATTACACCAGAATGCAAATGAGATGGACTTCATACCTTAAATCACCCAATAAGCATTTTACCAGTATGATGTATGAGCCAATACCATGACTGAGCCCACTTGTTAATGCATGTTCAATTTCTGTAACCAATGAATGTGTACCAAAATTGCTTCACTTGAAACACCCCCTCCTAGAATGCATATCTTCTCTATTCAAGCATTGAATGGGGCCAGTCTCCCGCAAGACTGGACCACTGGCATTAATTAAAGCTTACTTTCACTTTGTCTCTGAGGCTTCTGATAAGTGTGTTCCTCCCTCTCAGACTGGCGGTAACCAGCTAATTTAACCGAACACAGAGTTTTGCCATTGCATTATATATATATATAGCCACTCCCCAAGATGATTGTATACTCCATGTACTGCAAACATGTACTGATTTTTAAAATGAAATTAACTGATTAAAAAAAAGACTCTGAAGCATCAAAAAGCAATAGTAAAAGCAGACTAAATTATCAGAATCAACACAAAGGTGTAGTTGCACACACCTATAATCCCAATATTCTGTGGGGCTAAGTAGGAGGATTGGGAGTTTAAGCCCAACCTGGCCAACTTAGTGCCAGCAATATATCTCAGTACAAATGCCCTGGGTTGAGTCCCCACTCCCACTACAGAAAAGAAAGAGAAAAGGAGGGGAGGAGAGGGAGAGAGAGAAGGGAAAGGCCAAAAATATCTAACAACCCTCACACTACTGAGTGATACGCTAATGGAGCAAAGAGGAATATCCCAAGGGAAATTCTTGGCAAGTATGAACTCAGATTGCTATATCACAGGTAAAAACTCCATTAAATTTTCTTTTTCTTTATTGGTACATTTTAGGTATACAACACAGTTACATTTTCACTGGAGTCTTGTACCTTTACACGGTTCTTATTTTTTCCCCATTCCCCTGACCCCGCTTTACCTCCTCCACCTTTCCGTATTTACAGAGATTTTGTTTCCATTCTTTTCCTTTTCTATTTTTTCTTTTCCCTTCTTAACTTTCCCCTTCCCCTCCCACTACACCTTTAGACATTTTTTCCTATTACACAATATTAATTATACATTTTTATTCTTATTTACACTTATAGTTTATCACACCAGAGAAACTATTCAGTATTTACACATGTGTGTCCCGTTAGTTTCACTTAAAAGTATGTCCTCAACATGCATCGACTTAGCTATAAATGTCTCTAGTTTCTTGTTCTTTATGGCTAAGTAGTACTCCATTTTATAAAACAAAACACATCTTCTTTATCCAGTCTCCAGTTGATGGGCAATTAGGCTGTTTCCAAGTTTGAGCTATTATGAACTGTGCTGCTATAAACATGGGTGAGCATATATCACTGTGGTATGATCCTTTTTAATTCTTTTGGGAAGATACCCAGCAGGAGAATAGCTGAGTCAAATGGGACTGCCAATCCTAGTTGTTGGAGGTATCACCATATTGATTTCCACAGTGGTTGTACCAGCCAGCATTCCCACCAACAATGGAGAAGGGTTCCTTTCTCCCCACAACCCCGCCAACATTTGTTATTGGTTGATTTCTTGATAGCAGCCATTCTTTGTGGGGTGAGGTGGAATCTCAGTGTTGTTTTCATCTGCATCTCTCAAATAACCAGTGATGTTGAGCATTTTTTCATATGTGTATTTGCTGCTTTTACTTCTTTGTTTGAGAAATGTCTGTTCATTTCAGATGCCCATTTTTAAACTGGGTTTATAAATTTGGGGGGGGTCTGATTTATTTTAGTTCTTTATATATTCTGGATAGTAGAACTTTGTCTGAGGAATAGCTGGTAAAATTTTTTCCCACATTGTAGGTTGTCTCTTATCTCTGTTGGTGGTTTCTCTTGCAGTGTAGAAGCTTTTTAAAAAAATAAGATCCCAGTTGTTGATTTTTTGTGCTAGTTCCCATACTACTGAAGATTTGTTCATAAAATCTTTTCCTATGCAAGTGTCTTCAAGAGTTCTAATTTATTTTCCAGCAAGTTTAGTGTTTCTGTTTAAATATTTAGATCGTTAATCACTTGGATTTTAGTTTAGTGCATGGTGAAAGGTAGGGGTCTAGTTTTATTTAATCTTTGGCAAGTTGAAATCCAATTTTTCCAGCACAACTTATTAAAGAGGCTATCTTTTCTCCACTGAGGGTGGCCAGCTCTTTTGTCAAAGATGAGGTAGCTGGGTATGTCTGCAGTTGTTTCTATATCTTCTGATCTATTCCACTGATCCTCAGGTCTATTTCTTCACCAGTTCCATGCTGTTTTTATCACAGTGGCTTTGTAGTATAGTTTCACATTGGGAATTTTGATACCCCTAGCCATGTCTCTGCTGCCTCGAATTGCTTTTGCTATTCTAGGTCTTTTATGGTTCCAAATTAATTTTTGGATTGTTTTCCCTAGTTCTGTGAAATATACTGTTGGGATTTCAATCAGGATCACATTGAATCTGTATAGCAACTTTGGAAATATGGCCATTTTCACTATATTGGTTCTTCCTACCCTGTAACAAGAGATGTCTTTCCATTTTTTTTATATCCTCTTTGATCTCTTTGTTCAGAGTGTTGTAGTTCTCAATGTACAGGTCTTTTGCTTTCTTCATTAGATTGAGTCCTAGATATTTAATTTTTTTGGATGCTATTGTGAAAGGCATTGTTTCTCTAATTTCTCCCACTAAATTATCAGTGTATTTCTACAGTATAGCTAGAAGACACTTTGATTCCTCTCATCAAAATGTAAATCTGAACACCTTGCTCACATCTCTCCCTGTTTGCTTATTTCTGTCCCTCTGCTACCAGCCTAATGACAAGTCCTGATACACACTGCCTAGGGGTGTTGTAACATTTCCAAGATGCATATTTTCTATCAATTACAATAAAAAGATACTTAAATGTCATCTAACTCACTACTTCTATTTTTTATGGTACACTGTCACACCCTGACATCTATAAAGCTTAAATGCTGTGCAGTAGAGTATGAACTATGTGCACAATATGATTCATTTTTGAGTGTTGACCTTGTATCCAGATACTCTACTGAATCTGTCAATTAAGTCTAGAAATCTTTTGGTGGAGTTTTGGGGGTCTTCTATGTAGAGTATCATATTGTCAGCAAATAATGACAGTTTAACTTCTTCCTTTCCTATCTTTATTGCTTTTATTTCTTTCTCTTGTCTAATTGCTGTGGCTAATGTTTCCAAAACTGTATTGAACATGAGTGGTGAAAGTGGACATCCTTGTCTTATTCCTGATTTTAGTGTGAAGGTTTTCA